GCCCAGTCCTTCACTGAAGGGTTCTAATCCCTTGTGCTCTTCTCCCGGAGGTACCCTCCTTACCATAGGCTGAGACTCCTGCCTGTCTGATCGCAACAGTGGTAGATTGATAAGGTCACCAGGTTAAAGCCCAAGGCCCAAGCCGATGCTTAATATACAGTGTCGATTTATACAGTCATTCTTTCTCTTTTCTGCTCCCTTAATTAGTATTTAAATATTCCAAATGAAGTGGAATAGGTCGAACAGGAGCCATTAATGACCTGAATCCAGAATACTCTATAGCCTATTTATTGGAGTGTTCATCTGGGGAGTGGAACAGACAAGTCAAAATCTACCAGCTCTCTCATTTAGAGCAGACTGCACTGAGGTTTCTCACATCCCAACTGAATTGCCCTAGCAACAATATTATTATTTAAAAGGGAACAACCTCTTTTTTTTTTTTTAGTAGCATGACTAGCCCTCTGCTTTTAATATACCCAGCTTTAAAAAGACATTTCACATTAAATATTTTACTTGATTTTTTTTTGTGTGTGTGTGCTGTTGGCAGAACAAAGACTGTAATACATAAAATAACTATGAAATAACATAAATACAGAAAATTACCATTTTACATTTGCATGAGTCTAAATGCAGTAGGGGTATTTTTTTGTTTGTTTTGCTTTTTTTTTATTTTTTTATTTTGCTTCTGGGGTAGTGGGAGGTATAGCTGCTGAACTGCAAAATCGAGTGTCCATCCTTAACCATGGACTCCTATGTTTTTTATGCCTTAGGAGCTCAGCTCACAAATACAAAGGGTATTTTAGCTGAGCTGCCAGGACTACAAGCTCACCCTGGACTCTAAAAGTTGCACAGTGTTCTCCTCAAAGTTGTCACTAATTGTCAAGGTTTATTTATACCTGTGAGACTCTATGGGTCTTCAGGTTGTATCCTAAGTGACAACCCTGAAACCAGAGGAATAGTAAGAATCTCAGAGTTTGAGCTGTTTGGAATTTATCAAATCAATCTGTTGATGTAAAGGTGACATTTTTGACCTGATGGGGCAGTTCTGTGTGCATGAGAAATTGTGATGCGGAGTCAGAGGTATATATCCCCAGAGTGATCTTTTTATAGACGTGTAGATACAACTTTTTTAAGTTCCAATCCTCATTGAGAATCAATACAAATCACAACCCAAAGTGCCAGGAGGCTCAAGTAGACATGTGGCTGTGGATTAAAACTGGATGGCTGAAATTCTAACAGCCTTCAGCTTCACCCTCCACTCCCACAATGAATGTTGCCTCCCCCAAAGGAGGGACAACTGATCTGCTCATGAATCTCCTGACCCACTGCAATGTTCATCTAAGTATACTAAAGTAAATGGACTTGAATTCTGGTTGACTGTCATACAGACAGTGAAATTTGTCTTGGGAGAGAAAGTGTGTATTATATGGGCGGCAAGAACATCTGGGACAAGTCCAGGAGTCTGATTTTAACCTGTTGCTGAAGGATCCCTGTCAATTTTGCAAGTAAAAATTGATAGGCCTCATCAGGTGATTTCAAAGCACCAAAAATGCCTGTCTTTCTCATTCCCCCACCGGGCAACTGAAGCCTCACTGACCTCTTGGGCTGGAGCTCTGCTTAACTTTGGCGCGTTTTTGAGAAAGAGGAGAATTGCAGCTGGCTGAATTGATGGAAACATTGCCCATGTGTAGGTCCCTTCTTTCTCTACTGGTCTAGCTCTGTAAATAGCAACACTGTAGGTTTGGGGAGGAGGTTAACACTGGTAGGAGATGGACAAAAATACACACAACAACTGGGCACTGCACAGCAGGGAGCGGGCAGAGAAAAGCATTAGGATAGCACCATGGGTACTGCAATAACAGAGTGGTTGTGGTTGTAGGGGAGAGGGCAGTCATCTTGGTGTTATTGCCTCTTCTTCAAGTCGTGAAATTGCAATGGTATCAATACACAATCCACCTCACATGAGATTATGTAGCAGCAAACAATCTTCCTCAGGAGTCCTCAAATAAACTCCTCCAGCCAATTTTGTTTATATTAGTAGCTAGGGACGTAAAAATCTAATTTCTATTTTTGGTGGTTTAGGGCATCCTGTCTGAGTTTCTCCAGGAAGTTCAGAAGTTACTGTCCTATGGATGATGCTTGCCAGTCCTGTGAGGATGTCTCTGATACCATAAAGCACCTATAACAACCCTGGAGACCTTTCTTAGGCAGCTGAATCATACTGCAAGCATCTGCATCGCGAACCTCTCGCAGTGTAACAACATGTTTCTTAGCTTGACTTCCAGGCAAATTTGCATCAATAGCTGTTCATTCCCACTTCAATAAATGTAACAGTAGTGACTTTGTTGTATGACATCCTGAGTTTTTAAGGGGAAATCTGACTTGGCTACATCAGCAGCCAAAAGCATGCTATAGATAACCTTCTAGCACACTTGAGCTTTGTCTCTGCAGCATTGCTCAGATTGATAAATTGTGGGAAACTATTTTCTTCAGCCAAGAAGGTACAGAGCAGTCTGAATTTTAAAAGTTCGGTATACTAAATAGGAAGGAACTATTTTTACATAGCAACAGACCTAGAGGAATGATCCTTTGAGTGGTAATTATCTATATATGCCTATATCTATATACATACATAGAGTTTTAATTGCTTGTATTATAACTGTGCAAATATCTGCCATTACTATGTCCTTGGAGATATGCTGTGATACTAATCAGATTTGTCAAGATGAGACAGTACTTTCTATTCTCTCTTACGCATCATAAACTCTGACTGATATCCCCAAGGGAAAAAAATGCATAATGTGTCATTTATGACCTGTTGCATGCACAAATCACTTGCATTTTGTATGCAGTAGGATAACAAAATGCTATTGATTCTGAATTTGACTTTAGGAAAGTGATCTTTATTGCTAGTTGTCACTTGGCAATTTTTTCCTCCTGCTGTGAAATGTTTGATTCAAAATTTATGTTTGGAGAAATGGAAGCAGTGATAGTTTTATAATATATTTTAAAAAAAGAGCATAAATTCTATCTTAGCAGATAGACATTACTCAGAAGCGGAATAAACATTCTATAAATACACCTACATTTCAAATAAGTAACAAAAACCATGCAATATGCCAATCTTGTCCTGTTTACACAACACTGCTGTTTAGCAGAGCAGCTTCCTGGGGCTTGAAGCAAGGCACTGCTCAGTGTCAGGATGCTTGTGCAGAAGCAAACTTAAAAGGCAGAGCTAAAGGAAGTACACACAAATGCAATGCACTAGGTAATAAACAAAAGAAATGTAGAATAATTTGGGGTCTGAATTGGAACACTAAGGATATGATAGATTAAGGGTTAGGGAAACTCTGATACCAGAATTGTCCTTCCCTGTTCTACAGATGTACATGAGATACATAAAGGACATTTCAGTATCACTTTAGAATATTCTTCTCACTTTCTACAGAAAAAGAAACAAAATAAATATTAATTAGCATGACGATTATAAGACTTGTTATACCATCTTCTTTTTTTTCAGAGATCAATGTATGTACTTATGGGTAATATCAAGCATCTAATTCTTCATTCATTTCTTTAAGAATATCAATATAGTGATTCTTAAACAGAGGCCATGTACATGTTGTGATGGAAAATGTCTGAAAGTCTTCACCAGCCTTATACATCAGCTCTACTGACAAGTTTGCAATGGCATATTTACAATTTTCTGTGTGAAAAGTGAAAACAAACCTATTTATCTTTGTATAGGGCAGCTCTGACACTTTCCTTACCTCCATCATCCTAGAAAATTATCAGCTTTATAGGTTGTATCAGCTGTGACAGAATATGGGTGATCTCAGGGAAGAAGCAAAGGTATGAGCAAAGTCATCACCCGATTCCTTGAAACTTGAGGTCTCTGTGGCAAAGAGTCCCTGAAATCACTGACATTAATTTATGAGAGTTAGCAACATCAACCAGTCCAGGAACATATGTATCGTATCTTTTAATATTTTGACAGTAGCTTATAAGCAAATATTGTAAACTAAGCTAAGTGGAGGTACTGTCCTCTTCTACTGATGTTGATTGCAGAGTTATGAATATTTTTACTATTGTTATTGTATATCCTGGAAAACAAATACCAACCAAGATTGTTTAGATTATCACTTTCTTTTGTGAGAAAGGCTAACATGAGAATTTTCAAATGTTGTCAGGTTTCAGTTACTATTGTTTTTGTTTGTGTCCTGAATTAATATTTCTTGGAAGAAGTAGATTAAGTCAGTACTGTTAACTAATCATTTTACAGTTCATGTGTGTGTCAGCTGTTTAATTGGCTAATGTATGTACTCACCTTCCTACCACCTTTCCAGTACCAAAGCTGTACTCTGGAATTAAGTCTGCTTTGGCCCTGTAACTCTTGGTTCTTAGCAGATTATTGCATTAAATAAAAATGCCACAAACACAGGTATTTAAAAATCAGCTACAAGCTTCTTGGCAACTTATAAGGATACTGGAGCTGAAAATAATTTGTGTTTCTGTTAGATGAAACGGAGTATATACATTCCTATTGGCATTGAGAGCAGAAGTCCAGCAAAACCTTGAGTGGCATAGATGCATTAGCTCCATTAGAGTCAATGGAAGTACGCTTAGTCACATCACCTGAGAATCTGGCCTACAGCCCGTAACAAGACAGTCCTTTGGAGACTAATACTATTTTATGCTTTCGTCAGTCACTCTCCTAGGTCTGAAGCTATTCATGGCAGACTAAAAAATGTCATATTATAATCAAAAAGGCCAGTCACGGCTATTTTACCACGTGTGCCTCCAGATTAACTTTACTAAAAGTGGCCCTGGTTTAGGAAAAACTCCTTCCAGAAAGCACAGGAACCTGTCTTTAATAATGCAATATTTACATTTATTTTAAATATTCTGAGTACAGAAGGGTTTCAAAACAACATTCATATTCTTGATTTTTAGGCTCCAAGTGTTACATTCTATTTCCTCTGCTTTGACTATTTGCCTAGGACGTATGACTACAACCACGACGATAATAGATGGTAAGAACGGATCCATTCCCTCATCATCCATGAAAGTGGGCAAGAAATCAGTTACGGAAGACCTCGTGACAACATTCAGCTCACCAGCAGCATGGCTTCTTGTTGTTGCTCTGATTGTTACCTGGTCAGCAGTAGCTATTGTAATGTTTGACTTGGTGGATTACAAAGCCTTTGCAGGTAAAATTCAGCATATTCTGTTTGGTCTTGTATATTAAAATTTAAAAATTTATTAAGGAGTGTGTATTATGTAAATTTGCATATCTCTCACCTTCTTGGAGCCAGCGCAGTGTCTCTGCTGAGTTTACCAAGAGAGTAGATATTCTGAGAAATGTCAGAACATATTAGTTTACACTTGATACATCTTTATAATTTAAACCTCTCCATTTTGCAGCCCATCCTCATCCTGGAAAATGTGTATGTTGACATTAATATATGTATATGAGCATGTGTGGTCAGATTTCTGTTTTGCAATTCCTATATAAAATTATTTCAAAAAATTCAAATTAATTATTAATTCACATTTTCTGAAATATATTTTAAAATCTTTCATAGTTGCTTTGAGTCTTTTATCATCTGGTTACACAGTTCAATGACAAGAAATATTCATTTCTAAACATGCTAATCCTAAATTCATCTTCAAAAGCCGTAAGCACAGAGAACCAGATTCTTACCATCAGCTAAGCCAAACCCTTGTCTTCAATAAGGCAATAATTCTAGCTTATGTTGAGACTTGACAAACTGACTGAACGAGATCAAGTTTTGGGCTACAAATTCATTACTGAGGGCAAAGATGAAAATTAAGTGTGTGTTACATGGGATGTGATCATGGTTGAGGAATGGGAAGAAAGAAATGGGGAATGGAAATTACCTCACTGCTACTTGATTTTTTTGCCTTGTATCTGGCAATGGTATACAATGGAAAATAAACGAAATTACCTATGTTTGTAAAAGGTGCATAGTGTTCAGCAAGCCACTTTGTCAGTAAAACTTTTGTGAGGCAACCAGCTGTAATGACTGGGAAACATGTAAGTGAAGCAGAAAACAAATGATTAGGGTCCTTTTCTTTCTTAAATAAGAACTCTAGATCTAAACTTATCACATCTGTCACAATAATTAACTAGGAATTGAAATTCAGGGTTCAGCCTTTTAATTCAAAACAAATTGAGTTGAAGTTTCAAAGTTAATTTCCTGGACTTTATTAGTTTACTGATAAATCCATAGTTTTTTGTCCTTCTATATATATCAATATTGACCTCAAGATTTACTTAAAAAGCTTTTGAGACATAGACAGAGCCAGAAAGAAACCAAGCAATCTTGGATCGATGGATGACATAGAAGCTTGAAATGTTTTTGCTTCTCATTTGTCTTTGTTTTCAGAAGGAATTCACTTGAGTCACAGCAAAACATAAATTTTCTTTTGAGTGATCCTCCCAAAACAGGCATCAGATTTTAATTTGTACACAACGCACTTCCTGTTACAACATAGATGTAAACCAAGAGAGAAATATATTCTGCTTTAAATTTTCCATATTAACGATCAGTCAGTCAATCAATCAAGTTCTCAGTATGTTTCCAATAAGCAGTCAGGAACCAGGGCATAACTCAGGCAAAACTAAACTAAGTGATTCCTGAACTGGCTGTCAGCTCACGCATGCTCAATATACTCGTCAGGGTAATGTTAAGCAATGAGAATCTGTATTCGTACTGGAGACTGAAGGAAACTTTCTAAGCAGATGGAAATCGGATGTTCATGTTGTATTGGTTAAATGAGCTTAAATCCCCAAGGTGTTGATGGAAACTGACATTTTCAGACCAGACTGTAGAAATAAAAAAATGTAAAATTTAATCTGCAGGGTGAGTTTGTATTTTGTGGAGATCTCGGAGAGTTGATTCTTTAGTATTTTGAGTTCATGAGTTCATTTCTTCCCCTTCCCAAAGATATTTCTCTTCCCAAGTGATTAATTAAGCCAGCATTTAAATCAGGTCTCAATGGTGAAATATTAAGAGAAGGAACTGCTGTACTCCTTCAGACCAAGATTTATTAGACTGTTTCCTGTATTTATATAAATATAACAATGGCTACATAGCTCTTACCATGACTCCTGGGTTTCAGCTCCTGAGTCCCTGCTCAGTGTGATTTTTCCAAGTGGAACCCACTGATTTATAAAAATTCCATGGAAATAGCTGAAGATTTCACATAGGACCACCTGGCTGGCGTTATTGATACTAGAATGATTTTCACCCTCCGACAGTTTGGCCCTTTGCCTCCAGTGGAGGTAATGCTGTCTTTACATATGGAAAGTAGAATCTGGAGCATATTTTTAAGTGACTCCTTAAATCTAAAACCTAGTGATATTTCTCTTGCATTTGACACTGCTTTTTGAACAACCAGAACCGCATGAAAAAAAGTGAATAGTTATTTTCAGGACTGTAAGTTTAGTTTTGCAAGCATGATTAAAATTAATTTCCTAGTTTTTAAATGTAAATGAAAGATGCCAAAGAAATTATATTTAACTGTATATTTTTTAATCTATAAAACACAGAATATTCAGTGTATTTTTCCTTAAATAACACTTCCCTTCATAAGTCAGTGCTTTCAATTTCTTTCCCATTTCTTTACCTGAAGTTCCATGAAGTTCAAGTTTAGAAGGTATGCATAGCATGTGAATGAGGTGAGCTGAGAGAGCTGAACTCAGTCAGCCTAGAGAAGAGGAAACCGAGGGGAGACCTAAGAGCAGCCTGCAGCTATTTGAAGGGCAGTTACAAAGGTGACAGAGGACAAGCAGTTACCAAGATGAATTCCTTGTTATATCAGGTGATCTAATAAGGGGGATATGGCCAGAAATTGCTGTTGAACATAGAAGGTAGGGGGAAAGTCTTTACCAGGAGGGCACTGCAGCACTGAAACAGGTTGCCTAGAGAGGCTGCAGATTCTCCTTGGTAGTGTTCAAGACAGCTAGATGGCCGTGGCTGACTGGATCCAGTGTTGGCAACAGTCCTTCACTGAGAGGGATTGCACTAGATGAACTTTAGAGATGCCTACTAATCAACATCTGCAAGATTGCAAGATTTTATTGAAATGTCTGTTAGAATTTGGGTATTTAGAAAGTACCTGGCCAGGGATCTCAGTGGAGACACAAAGATAACTCAGTGGCAGATTCTCCCATCCTCACATGTGAGGGATGCTTCTGTGGACCTTTGTAGTCAGGATTTCACTCACTCATTCATACATAGAGTTAGCCCTGTTGATTTGTGTGCTAATGTTCCACAGGGATTCCTGGTGAGGTGACTTGAAAGCATACTGTGCACATCTGCAGAGCCAGCCCTTTGCCAGATTTGCAGGAAGCAAGGACCTGGGCTGGGACAGCTCTGGGAGAGCTGGGTAAAGTGCCACGCACCTCCACACTGGGGCTGGCTCTGACCTACGGGCTCCCACCAGAGACTTCCACTATGGGTCTGTGCCAGAAATTACCATCTCCACAACAGAGCCACTAGCAGTGGGTGTACTGCACAGCACTGACTGCAGCAGAAGACAGGAGAGCGTTGACATAGTAAATCAGATTGGGAACTGGGTGGCTGAGGAATATACACAGATTTGATTACACTACAGAGTTGTTAAACTCTAAAGGAAGTGCAACACCCTAAATAATGAGTTCTCACCCTGAGATTACACAGAGTTTCATAGAGCCAAGTAGAAACACAACAGAATTGACCACAGCAGACTAGGAAGTATTTTAAACTCAAGCATTGTTTTCTTATTTGAACAATTAACAAATTTGTTGTCGTTATCTTAAAGGCAAATAATTCAAAAAACGCAGATAATATTAGTATATGTATTTTATCGTATGTATTCTTTTAATTTATCAGCATAAACTTCACGATGCCTTTATGACTACAGAGTGCCAACCCATAGATTTTGGTTCTTGATTACTATGATTTCATGTTCTTTTAGAAGTAAACTATCAAGTTTGGGAATTTTGACAATTTATACAAGGTGAGGTTTGTCCCCTGAATAACTCTATGAAAAATGTTTGATTTCATCCTAAAATAAATGTGGTAAATTACTTTTGGGCATGGCCCTTCTCTGTTCTCTGTCTGAAAAGAAGCCTTTAGAACTGAGGGATGCTGAGGAAGGATAATGCTTAGGTTTTAGGAAGCTGAAGTTAGATGACATGAATTCAAGCTCCTGTCATAGAAAGATTTAGTATATATTTTGTGGAATTTTACACATCCAGAATATGATTACTGTAAATTCTATATTGCTCTGCAGTATTCAGGAGGTGCTGGTTATGACAGAAAATATTGCAGGAGGACCCTGTGTTATGGGGTGCACGCGTAAAGCTGTGACTCCTGGGTGGTTATGTGTCAATTTGTTCAGAGGTTAGAACAGAGATGGGATCTGCAAGTCAGCTTTGGCAGTGGAATTTGAGGAAAGCATGAGCCAAGAATTAGATCAGTGCTGAAAGATTCGCCCCTGTTCTATCTACCTAAAAGAAGGAAATTAAATTTTGCGGTGTTTTGCTTTAGCATGTTATGTTCATTCCTTTGAGGAAAGAAATGAAAGCTTGCATTCCTATCATGTTGTATTGTACAACTATAAACATGACTGAAATATTTTTAATGCGGTATGAAGGTGACATGCATTACAAAAGCCTGAGATAAAAAACTATGAATCTCATGCAGTATGTAGTGTGTATGAATATGCAATAAGTAACATACTGATCTCTTATACATTCTCAGAATTTTCAGAAATGCAAAAAAAAAAATCATTTTGGTTTGATGAGTGCTTTGCAGCAGTTTGTTATTACTACCATCCTTTGTGTTAGAAAATACACCTTGTTAATTGCCTTCATAATTCATGAATGTATTTCACGCATTTCTTGTACACATAACTGGATTATGTATTTTAATTGCTAAATGTAACTAAATAATTTAAGATTATTTTAGTCCTAAAGATTGATTGCCCAGGAATCCACATTTGCTAATGGGCTAATAAAGTGTTCAGAATTCCCTGCCATCTCTGTGACCAATTACAGCTAATTAACACCACCCTAATTTCAGCTCCAGACTGTTCAATATTCAGAGTAAATTGATAGTGATTTAGCCAGTCACCTAAAGGCCAGACTAAATCAAACCTAATGAAACCTCACCAAATCTATGAAACCCAAAACTATCCACAAAATAATCTAAGTGAAAATATAGCACAGACACTCAACGCGGTGAGCTTGCCACCTTATTGTGACTGCTTTCATGAAAGAAAAAGGAGCAGGCTCTTTGTTGTGGATAATTCCGTTCACTCAACCATAAAGAGGCTTTTTAGAGATCTGCAGCAAAGGCAGATCTTTTTTGAGGTAATGCATGTCGATGACAGGAATGAGGAGCAAATAAGATATGTAGGCACGGAGCTCCCAGCTCCACAAGAAGCAGCAGGGATTCCAGTCAGATATTCTATTTAATGTGTTTTGATTTTGTTTGGTTCTGTTTGTTTTTTGGTTTGGGTTGGTTTTCTTTTTGGGGGGGAGGGGTGGAGCGGGGTGTCCTTTTTAAGTTAATGGGAAAACACCTAGCTAAATTGTTGTGGGGTCTCTCGCATCTGCTTCTGACTAACAGAATCTGAAGTCACCATTTCTCTGCCTTAGCTTGTGGTCACTCCTATGACTGGCTTGTCGCCACAGGAAGCTTTTGGCTGGCCCTGGGTAGTCAGGATGATATACGTATTATATTTTCCAGTAGAGGAAATCAAAGAAATAAAAAATTAGGAACCATATATTCACAAGAAAAAAGATACAAGAAGGTAAAGAAGAGGACTCCAAACAACTTGTGTTCTGTAATTGACATGCTGACATTTGTTTTCCCAGTCTGCAGCATGATAAAAGTGTAAGATGCATAACCTGTTAAGTGGAGAATGTTTGTTTCATCATTAAGAGCAGCACAAGTCAGCAAAATATGGCTATTCTACTGGGTTTATTTTTTGGGGGGAGAGGGGGTTGTGAGAAAATAATTATTAGGAATATATACATCCATTTTTCTCCAAGAATGATCATGCTGTAGTCATTCTGTTAGGCTCGAGTTCACTGGAAACTTTTAAGAACTGCAAAAAGAAGAGTGTGCTTATATTTAATTTTCTATTTTATGCCAATATGTCCACCAGTTTTAAAATTGATAATACCTTTGCACTTATTGAGGAAAAAGAACTAACTTCTGTCTTAGTTTAATGAACCGGCAAACTTAATGGAACAAATAATTTTGTCTCCTGGTGCAAAAGGTGTTTCATAGTCTCACCAAACTGAAATAATTGGTAAAAGCATTTCCATACATGCAAAATCCTAGATAAATCTCCCACAGAACAAAGGAGTGGCATGTAAAAAAAAGGTGTTGGCCCTTGCTGTGCTCCCTTTGGAACTCATCAAAACGGTGCTACGGTCTTTTGAAATACAATTTTTACTGTATTTACAGGTATCAGTCCAGAACATGAGTAAACAGCTTATGCATTTCAAAGTTCTTAGTGAAATTCTTAATTGAATTATATGGGACTTCCACTAATGTATCAAAAACCTAGAAAATAATTTTTGTTCACTGTCTTCTGTAATGATAAAAACAATTAAAGACATTTAAACCCAATTCTACTTTAAAGAAGGGCTGCCTAGTTGACATCTTACTTCCTGTGTTTCACTCTGCAACAAATCTTACAGCTGAGTTATAAACCCCTAGAAAATGAGTTTATACTGGAAAGAATGACAGCCTATGAAGTACTGCAGTGCTGCAAGTACTGTGTTCATCCCAAATGGTCTAACATATACAAGATGATAAATTGAGATAGATCAAACTTCATGAGGTCATGAAGTTGAAAATATGAAATTTCAGAAACTGAACTAATAGGGAAGGATCTAAAAAAAGAAATGAGTCCTGCATGCTTAAATGCGCTTCACGGGGTACAAAGCACAAACCAAATTTCTGGCCCATAATGGTATCTGTGAAATTTCTAATTTTAAACAAAAAAACCCAGTAATTCATTTCAGTAACGATTGCAGTAATGAAATTCTTTGGTTATTTGCTGTTGAAGAAATCAGAATAGTTCAACAAGAATAAACCATATGTAATGTATTCCTTTCAGCAACAGAATATGTTTGTAACTTGTGAAAATACCTGTGCCTTATTTAACGATGTTGTACATTGCTCTGATTGGTACTGTATTATCTCACACCTACAGCGTATTGTTCTTCTTTTTAATGAACTGCAATTTCTGCTTCACAACAGCAGCCCCACAGAGATCAAATAACTCCTCGCTTCACTCCGTAACTGCTTCCTTTAGTCAAGAGACAGCTGAGGATGTTCATTATTGCTAATGGTGTTTCTTCCTTTTTTTTTTTTTTTTTTTTTTTTTTTTATTGGCCTTTCTCGGGTTGGTTCATCCTGTTGCCATCCGCTCTAGCCACCTATTCACAACATTGCGATGATCCCTGTTTACCACCTGGTAAAGATGTTCTGCCTGCAGTGTTCTGAATACGCGTGCGGTCTGCTGACCGGAGATAACCAAGCATGGGCACGAGCAGAGTGCCAGGACGCGGCAGCACTGCTTCTCTGCTAACCCCCAACTCTGGCTGGCTGGGGCTGCAAAGCTCATTGCAATAGCCTCCTCCTGATTTTCACATCATGCCTGAAATAGATCTGTCAGCTAAGAGACGCCCTCAGTCAGGACGTTCCCAGGAAATGGTGGCAAGCTGAGAGATACTCATTTTACCCTCGTGAATGCCCTTTAAAAATGCCATTGTACAATTATTTAACAGCACTGCCTTTTTAATCTGAAGTTAAGATTTGTGTTCTTAGTGTTCTTAGTGTTCTTTCTGTTCTTGAATCCTTAGAATGAGAAAAAAAGAAAGCTTCAAATTATTTTAGGTAAAATATCTGGCTGTTTCAGAAAACATGGCCAAATTGGGGTCTGATCCATTAAATCAGAAGCCATTCAGCTCATATCAAATCAAGTTATATAAATTACATGGAAAGCCCATCCTAAACTTACATTCCTGTCTGTGTGTGCGGCTATATCAAAAGTACCTGAAATCACCTGATACTTTGTGACACTTTGTGAATTTCTTTCTAAATTTCAGCAAGTAGATTCTAGATATAACTACTTTGTTCTCATTTTGGGTAAGATGCCTTTGTCCATTTTCAGGTGAGGTTTTCCCTGTAGGCTTGACCTCAATATAATTGTCTAAGGCTGATATTAGAAAGAGCCAGGGAAGATTTATACTAGACTGTAGTGTCCATATCTACAGCTTAAGTGCCTATAAAGTGGAAATTACTGAGTAATGTTGAGTCTGAGTTTTCTTTGGCATTGTTTTTGTACTTATAATTCAATACACTTACAATTCAAAATTAAATTATTATTTTTATACTCATAATTTAATGCTACCCACCAGCGTTCATCCTGAAGCTTAGTGGTGTAAGCATGACAAAAATATTAGTCTATGAAATAGGATGATAAGACCTAAGGACACCTATGCTGACCAACTGGAATAGTAATAATGGAAGACTTTATGTGTGTATGGAGTTTTTTATGTTCGATACTACTCTTCAGAAGACGACAGATTAGGAAAAGCTACTAGTAGTAATAACAAATCTTAAAAATATATAAACTTTCAACTTAAAATACAGGCGTCTGTATTTATAAGAGTATTTTAGTAAAGCTAGGATATGTTTTATTATCACAAACTAGTGTTAGGCTTCTGTGTTTTATCAAACATGACAGAAATTCTCTGTCTTCATCAGCTGCACCTTGTCAGTATCAATGAATTAGATTATATCTCATAGATCAATCTTTACACCAGATAATTACTGTGATTTGTAATTTAATTGCATTCAATTCACTGGAGTCAAAATATGTAATTGATGAAAATCCAACAATTATTAAGTAATTGACTGCAAATCATTAAAAAAAATCCCAACTTTAAAATAGGTTGAATTCTGAGTATATATTTAACTATTTGACAAGCAAAAAAGATTGATAGGAAATCTCATTCCTGGAAGAGTTATTAAGACTGGAATAATGACTGAAGTGATTTGCACAGATAAATCAATTAGTCGCTTTTTGTTGTGCACTTCACAGAAATAAATGACACAGACCATGAAACATAACCAAATTTGCTTGAGGCGCTACAACAAATCATACCATGTGATTAACCAATTCATATTTCCAAAAGCCACTGTTAAAGGACCGATTATCAGTCCTGATAAAGGTTTCTTCTGTTCCCAAAATACCATAATTTTACTGAAGCTGAAGTGACTTTGTCACTTTATAAAAATTATTTTCTGTCCCAAGAACATACCTAATGCTGATTGAAGGACTTTGGAAACCTGTCATTGGTTCATTTCAAAGAGCTGTGTCAAGTATGAGTTATTAATTACCTTTAAAGGTACAAATTCCATTTTCAAATCAATTGGAGTTAAAATTGTGAGCCAAGGAGAGTTCAAAACTGAGGAAATTAGTTGGTCAGAATTCTTATTCTCACATTTTGAACCAAATTAATGTTTCTGTACCAATAAAGCTGGAGAGCTACAAAAAATTGTAGCAATTTCATTTTAATGTAATGGTCATGAAAGCCAGTTTCAAAATACATAGGGAGTTTTCAGAAGTATTTAATACCTATAGCACATCTGAAATTATCTCTTAAAGAATTATTTTAACCAAATTTGCATATATTTAGTAAAGAAAATGCAAACAAGCTTCCAATTTTTCTTGCAGATTTATACAACAGGTAACATTATCTAACCAAATTCAGTTCAGTTTTCCTACAATAAGATTTTGTTAAAAGGTATTATACAAAGTCCTTCAATTTGACTAGGATTCTTTCTCAGTCAGCTTTATCTCTCCTGAATTTTGTAATTCGCCAGAAAGTTCTGGAATTTGTTATATCAAGGCATTGTTGGTGGTACCAGTGCTGTCTTGGAATGCAAGTAATTTATCAAGGTTAAATAGTTGTATTGACCTGGTATTAATTATAAATGTAAAGTTAAAAATTGCTTAGCCAAAGCGAACAATGACCAGAAGGATTTAAATATGAAACAACACCACTAATAGGTCCATAGCACCATGTCACATACCTCAGTCATACGAAAATAAGGTGTCATGTCCATGCTAATTTTTCAGGCTTCCTTTCCTTCCTAGTCAATGGAAAGGGATGGGCATCTTTGGAAATTAATCCATATAATCCTAACAAAGATGTCAGAGGAAGGTGAGAAACTTACCTTCTGAAGGTCAGAATATGTCTTTCTGCACTGGCTTTTCAGGGAGTCTAGAATCCACCAGGGGTTCAACACCTGGCTTTCAGGTACATTTGGCTAGATAGGATAATCCGAATTTAAGCTGTGATTAAATGAAATTACATACTGTCAACAAAAGGTCTTCAATATTAATTGCATGTTTCATCCCTGAGCTTAGCCTGCTGAGTAACTATGCGCTTCCTTTTCCCTCCTTGCTCCTTCCTCCTTTGACAGACATTTAATATTTTTCTACTACATTATCTAAGGAAAAATTGGCTCGATCCCTATTTACAGGTTGAGCAAAAGGTAGAACTTCACAGTCTGTATATATCTGAGAAATACTCTGTATTCATAAAGGCTCTTTACAGTTTAAATTCAAGGTCCTGCGCCTGCTACTCCCAGCACAATAGGTGACATGTATCATCTATTAATTATAGTTGATAGTTATAGATAAGTTAAAAATTATATATTGCATGCTATATAACATATGCTAGCAAGAGAAGTATATTGTGAGCTTAATTTTAAAATAATTTGTGTTCTAAGTTCTGCCAAGAAATGAAAAGTGAGACAGAGGACAGCTAATCCAGTCTGAATGTGTTGAATCCAAGACTATTCTAAAAAAGCCATCATACTGTACCCTTGCTGGGCATCTGTACATAAAAAAAAAAAAAAAAAAATCTAAATTACATCAAAATATCAATCTCAAACTTTGTTATGAAAATCTGCATTCTCTCAGCTTCACTCTTGAAGAAAGAGTATGCAAATCCTCTGGAAACGGTTATCTTTCTTTGCATGTGTGTGAGACAAACGGCATCTTTCTCTCTACTTGTTCCCCCCTCAATTGCTTTATTTCCTCTGTTTCTTGTCTGTTTTGTTCTACTGGGAAAGAACCTGCTATTGTCAAAGTTGTGGGGAGAGCTAAAAGTATGGATTTGATCAGTAGTAATTTTCACTTCAGCATTACCTGGTGTGGTGTTCTTAAGCATTTCAGGACACATCGTTACTGTTAGCACTACTTTTTAAAAATGTAGGAAATACAGCAAAAGTTAACCAGAAGATCTATGCACAAGGAGACAACTTTCCAGGCCTGTGTCACTTGCATCAGACTGCAAGTGGATCTCACAGTAGCTGTTTGCATACAAAATTTAAAATTACAGAATTTAATTTTTGAACTACGATTAAAGTGTCCTCTACACAGCCCCAAACCGATTTTTCTAAGCTTTTTATGTTAAACAGGATTGGCAACTTGGGCTTGTTAGTGTAGGCGTGACTGGAGAATTTCGCCTCTGGACACTTACAATTTTTAATCCCTTTTCATAGTTTGCTATGAAGTTGTTATGAATTAAAGACCAGGATATGACGTTGAGAGCTCTGATTCATCAGCAAAGATGGCTTGCCTTGGGGTGGTTGGAATAATTTCCTCTGCTCTTGATCTTGTTCTTCTCTGAACATTTCCCTTGCCTGCCCAGGGGGACAGCCCTGCTACCTGTGAAGCAGTTCTTGAACTGCTAGTTGATACACCAGTATATTAAAATAAATTGACACCAATTCTTGTTTAGTTTACAGCTGTAGTCCCTGCGGCTGTAAAAGCCTCTGGCTGTAAAAGCAACTGAGCCATCCCTAAGCAACCAGTGAGTAAAGGGTAGGTGGTTAACCAGAGTGGAAATCAAGGCAGCTCTCCAAAGTTAAACCATCCCTGCTTGTGAATCGAAACCTCAGTAATGCTAAGACCCCTTTGGCCATGTCCATTCTGTTACTCCACTCGAACTCCTTAGCACCTCTAGATTAGAATAAAGTGCAAATAACATCAGTGGTCGGGTTGTGGATTTACTTTGTAATAGCCTATATATAGGTATTCATTCTCCTGGTAAACACTTGAGAAGAACATTTGCGGCAAATCAGTTGTAAAAATAAGATCGCTATATCTCAATGCATAAGGCCAATGCAAATAAATAAATACCTTATAATAACCAAAGTAAATATTCCCCGTTATACTACTCAATCTTTCTCAATCCAACAGTGCACACAATAGTACACTAAATGAAGAGATCGTGCATATTTATTTGCAATTATGTCATTTCATCATGGCACACAATTAATTTATTTGATGTGCCTGATTTTCAGTAACATATATCTATATAATACAATCTTCAAAAAAACATAAACCAAAATATTTCTTTGGTTTATATTATTAATAAGCAGATGCAAAATAATAGAAAATCAGCCTCGTCTGTTCTGTTTCTGTTAATTAGAAATAAAAGGAATTATTTAGTGATACATTTATATTTCAAATGAAGATACCTGTATATTTCAATATAGCACTTTTAGAAAATAGCTGTTCATGCTGCTGCCATCAAAGATGTTGCTTCAAGCCTGCACTTTGCCTGTCTTTGTAACCTGCAAGTCTATGTGAGACTACTTCTGATTACTGCTAAGATTTGGCTTGTGAGTCAGAACACTGCAACCAGAAGTAGTTCTGAAGAGACTTGTATTTAACTCCCTACTAAAATATTTGCATACAGAAAGATAGTGGTAAACAGAGATATAGTTCCCATCTTGATACTGTTAAATTCAGTGTATATATTTCTATTGAAACTCCTAGGAACAAGACTAGGCCAACAACTCAAATCATATTTGCGATCTGCCTTCAGTGTCTACATTTCTGGTAAACCTTCACACAGATAGAGCAATCATTCAATCTGCCATTTTAAGTGCAGTGAACAGCAACGTAGACTGATGGAAAGTTGTCCTTCTTCCTCAGCAGTGTTTGGCACAGATTTCAAGAAAATAGAAGTCTGCTGGGCAGAAAGCTCAGAAGAAACACTCTGTCAGAGGCTGAAAAGTTCTTCTGAAATACTATAAAGAGCGTAGAGAGAAATCTGGTGAAATCCCAATTGGAAAAGCCTTTAAGGAAATACTTGTATTACCCACTGATAGTTGCTGTCCCTGGGTGTGGATACAACAGGGAGCAGGGGCCTCACTTCCACTAGAGGTCTCAGGAAAGTGGAACGCATTAAATACAGAGCTTCCTTGTTTGTCAGCTTACTTGCCTACAGGAGCAGTAAGACAAAAACTGGTTAAGCATGCAGATGTGCACAAGTGTCTGTGATAGAAACGCTAGGAAAGTTGTAAGAGAAGAACCAGATACACAGGAGTACGTTTTTGAAAGTAGCAGTCTCTGTGTAATACTTTGGACTTTGCATTCACCTTCATTCTGGACTCAGGTTTATTTTGTCCCAAGTATACATAGCTGTCTTCTTCCCATCCTTCATGTGTACCCCATGGCAATGACAGGCCTCAGCCAGGACTTGTGTAAAGTACGGGGCTCAAGGGGAGATATGGCATGAGGAGTGGGACAGAGACAGCAGTGGGTCCTAATGAAGCATCAAGAGGCAGAGGACCTGGGCCAGAGATAAACGCTGGTTTGAAGGGGAGAGATTACCTAAAAAGAGTAAATATTAGGTAGAATCAAATCTATATTTATCCTTTGCCCAACCAAGCCTCAGAAGAAAAGCCAGAGCTTGGAGTGCAGTATCAGACCAAATTATCCACTGGGTCCTTAATCACCCTGTGAACAGCCAGTACAGTAGGATACAGTTTATACCAGTCTTGCACAGGAAGGAGAGCTGTCCTCAGACCCTTTCATAATAAATATTAACATTCACAATCTTTGTTTCTATTAAGGAGGTAGCATAATTAGTTCTGCATAAAATGAAGATTAACGTTAATCACTGAAGGAGGTTTGGGGGTTTTTTTGGTTTTGTTTTTGTTTTTTCAAACTGCTTTTGTTTTAAACTCTGCACTCAGGAAGATCTGTTAACAAGCTCAGCACAGAACCACTGAGAATCATTCATCAGACATTGGAAGAATCCACTGATTGGCTTTATGGCTTTATTTCTTTTCTGTCTGACATCGTATGGAGTGATGATGATGACAGTGATGAAGGTATTTGTAATGTAAAGACTTCTGTGACTGCTCTAACTGCTGTTTTACATGCATTATGTTGGCTTCCTCAGCTTTTAACCTCACAGACAAGAAGGTCAAACAAAATGAAAAGTGAACATTGTCGCTAATAAAGCATCTACTGGCTATTCCAATCAGTAAATTGGTCTCTTTGTTAGCTTTCATCTCGTGTTTAATGTACCATTACAGAAAAGCTGTCAGAATTAAATATTACCATTAGTACATCTTGAAGTAAAGAGTGCTAATTTATACAAGACTTCAAAGCCGCAACCAAAATATGCGTCAAGATATTGCTTCAGAGAAAGGCAATAGCTATTTTCTTTTAATCAGCAAGAATCTAAAATAATATACAAGATAGACCAAGAAACTTAGAACTTTTTTATTTGATCTATTGATGATGGGACGATGTATTGAAACAAAACAAAACAAAACAAAAGACAGAAAAAATAGTGTTTTGGCTGAACTAAGGGGCTTTTGTATGGCATATTGCAAATAATTCAGTTTACTATAGATTTTGGTGCTGCTATTATAGTAAAATTCTTCGTCTGACATCATCTGATAAACGAAAATAAACGTCTAACAATTCAAGTTTGGAAATAACTAACTTTATGTTATAAAAAAAGTAGTTCCCTGGTATGAGCAGAGCAGTAGTGGATCATCATGTCACATCATATTGGTCATTTTGACAAGCAGCGAGTGTAGGAGTAACATCTTCATTTCATGGTAGTTTATTTTATATTCTATTTGGCTATACCAGAATATAATTAAAAAGCAACACGTACTGAAACTGGCTTCTACCCATTTGTTCATAAACTTGGGATATTATCAAATTTCTACCTTTTAAATGTGTGCATGAGCTTTTTATATCAGCACCATATAGCAATACTAATAAATAGGCTGCTACATGTAAGTCTGTGAACTGGGCATCTTATTCTGAGATATGATTTACAACCAGAAGAAAGCTAGTCTCTCATATGGTTGAGAAGCAGAAAAGGTGAAATATGGAGTGTTTGCTAAAATTTGAAAAGTGTTCATTTTGAAAAGTGTTCATTTGGGAGCTCAAAGCTCCCAAAGCAACTGCGAGCTCTCAAATACTGGAGTGGATTAGTGTTAATGCAAGCAGGACACACACAAACATTCAAGAATCTGAATGCTCACTAAGAAGTGTTTGGAAACCTCAGTCCCACCAGTCTTTACTCCAAGTGGAATTTCATCAATATCTACCAGGCGTGTGAAAAGGCAGTAGGCGATTTACTGCATTATATTGTAAAAAGTAAGTGCATGTGAAATCCCTGCCCGTTGTGAGCTGTGGTCAGTGCAGCTGAGGCTGCACGCTTGCCACAGTTGTTCAGGCTGACTCCTTTAAATTCCATGTCCTACGTGGAGGTGGAATAATACTTAGCAGCAATCAAGTGCTCATAATTCCACTGATATTGAGTGTTTTTTGCCTTGGACTTCACTGGATGTGTTGCTAGATTTACAACCTTGTTAACCTGCATATACATTTTCCTATTTGGAGCTAAAATGGAACCACCGGGCCTTTCCTTAAAACGTGGAAACATGCATAAAATCAAGCAAATTGTAAATTGTAGTCACAAGTTCACATTTAGAAGCACAAACAGAGATTTGGACGTTTCCTTAGTTACTACTGCACATTGAATTTACCTACCCCAAACCCAGGAAAAACTCTGTGGTGAGAGATGTATGTTACGAAAAATCACAAATCTCAGAATACAGTGCTTGCCATTTAGCATATAAAGAATAGATTATCTGTTTTAATTAAAATGAGCCAAGATGAGAAAAAATATGGGGGTTTTATGATGATATCTCTTCTCTGACATTTGTTCTTTTCTCTTGGTTTAGGTGAAGTGGAACCTTCCCTGAAAAAAGGTTGGTCAGTTGCCTTACTATAGTGAGCGAATATTTTGCAACTGTTTTAAGAATTAACTAGTATATCTGTGATATAGATTCTGTCATTAGTTACATGTCAGTCTATTAACCATGTAAGTTGTGCTTTAACAAACTCATTAAATAAGAAACTTGAGTAATAGTAGTTCCTGTACTGTTTGCTGCTCTGTGAGAATTCTTGACTCTTGTTATTATCTAGAAAATCTGAAAAATGTTCACAAAAAGGCAATAAAGTTACAAAAATATTATCTGTAGCCTTGTCCTGCATGTGGCACTCCTATTCGTGCCAATATGAGTCATGTGTATGTCTGGATAGAAATAATATTTAGAAACAATAATATATAAATAATATTTAGTGAGAGATAATGGTGAGGTGTTGTAAAACATTTTGTCTTGTGCCAATGCAGAATCCTAAAATAAGGAGTACTTCTTAATCTTTTGAAAAGAATTACTCAGTTATCGTTGAATTTTTAAAGTGGACAAGTGAAGCAAGTAGGATTTATAATATAAATCTTTCCAGACATGAAAATTGTTATGCTGAAACATATAACTTAAGTTCAACTTCTATTAAATCAAAATGAAAATGCATTAGAAGGCTTGAGATATTGGTGATAGGTTGTAAAGCTTTTCAAAACTAGGGTGTGTTTTTTTCTTCAAATTGAGCATAGCTTGATAATAACAAGATGTGTAACCAGCCCTATGTCATCTGAATTTGGTATCCATCAAATTCTCAATAGGTAAAATGCCCGTATTGAAGAATCTATCAACCCAGTTCGTGCTGAGATTACAAACCCGTTGTCTCTGAAGTTAATTGGAACTGGATCAGGCTTCTATTTAATGACACATTTTGTCAGTCTCAATAGGGCATCCAAGGAATGAATAGGCTTGAAGACCAGAACCATTCATCTTTCTATGGATGATCCTTCATGTTAAGACTGAAGGAAGCTTATAGACAGTGTAAGAAAACATTTCATCTCTTTACTCCACCAGTAAGAACCACAAAAGGTTCAGCATTGCCCTGTATATTCTCCCAAAGAGAGAAATGCATTGTTAGTATTACAGTGGGTGTAAAGTGTCTGAAGCTGTAGCACACTGTTGGCAGGGATGCCAGGTACATAGGTGGAAGGTGTCTACTTGCCATGGGCCAGTGTAGCTGACCAGGCTGGGAGTACTGTGGAGGTATTTCACCACCGGGAAGGTTTAACCGTAAAAACGTTATGGAGAACACCATGCTCAGCATCGTAATCCCTGCTTCTTTGGAAATTGGTGACATATCCATGCCTTAGACTTTGTATTGGGACACTAGGCTGTAGAAATAGAATTCAGGGAAGCCATCAAAATAAGCTGGAAGCTGCTAAATTAGTCAGTTGGAAGTGATGAGATGATAGTTCAGACCTAAAAGTCCTCCATCCAGGCAGCTAAGTATCTAAGTGCCAGCTTGAAATGTTTTCATCAGTATTCAGCTCTGGAGATAAATGCCTGAGAGTCTTCTATCTTTGGTGTGAAGAAAATGGACAAGAAGCTGGTGATTCCTCTGGAGCTGGTATCTTATAGGGTAACTCAGCCACACAGATGTGAAAAGGCACAAATTCAAAGACGCTTCATCTGCCTGAGCAGCAAAACAGATTTTGAGTGGGCTTTTCCACTTCCTGGATATGTGCTCAAGATCTCTCCCTCCATCTTTCAGAGGATAAGGATGCCCATCCTTTTCTGCCTGCAGAAAGCTGTGTCTTGACTAGAACTGATGAAGAAAGTAGTCTAAGACCCTTTCTGGGTATAGCTGTAAGCTTACACATAGCAACATCCTCAGATAACCTGTTACCATCACCAGATGGCTGGAGGTCTCCATTTCATCCTGGCAGCTAGGATCTGGCCTTGATTATACTTGATTTTGTCACCTCTTTTTCTGGGCTACAGAAATACAACATACATGGCCTGGAGCCACCAGTCCCTTAGAAATGCCAGCGCAGAATATTGCGCATGTCTGCCCAACGACAGGCAGCTGTGAGCTCCTCAGAGCTGTCACTGTCGCTCTTTGCAGACTTCTCTTAAAATTGTGTAAACATCAAGGAGCTGAATTCCCTGGGTCTAAGCCTGTATGGAAGTTTTCTGAGAGCTCTGTGATAAAGTCTAGAGTCAACAGCTTTTCTACTCAGGCGCAGTGAAATTCACTCCCAGGGCTCAAGCTCATGAGCACAGAAGGCAAAGCCCTGGGAGGGGAGGAGAGGGCTCAGACGAGCTCATGTCGATAGCACTCTCACAGACATCACAATCTGTTCCTCCGAGCACAAGGTGCACGTCCCTTTGGGCAGCTTTTCCTAACTAATGTGTGCTGTCATGTCTATGGTCCAGAAATAAGAGCTCCAAAAGAAAAGCTTTCTAAAACAAAACAAGACATTGCATCCATGATTTTCTCCATGTGACTGCTGTCAGGGCTGGACCTGAAGGAGGACCAGGTATATAAATTTGGAGACTTTTTGGGTATCAAGATGTTAGCAGTTAGATTCACAAAATCGGAACCAAATGTTTAAGCTGTTTAGTAGTCTCTGCTTTCCCTTAAAGGACCATTTCTGCGTCAAAGTCCCTTCCACTCTACACAGCATTGTTATCTGTAGCTTTGTGAATTTTTCTGCTTTAGGTGGCTCTTCTTATGCTTGTGGCATTTGAACATCCTAAACAAAAAAATATAACCCAGTGAGATTATGCAGTACACTACTGCCATCTCCAGAAGATGAACAGTTTGACTTTTTGCACATATTTACAGGAAATCTTGCTCAAATTGCACCCTGGAAATATGCATTATGATTGCTGTGCCTGATTTTTAAGTATTTGCATTGGATCTAACCCACAGTTACTGTGGTATTCATGAATAGGCTGAGATGTGAAAAATCTCCATACCTATTTATGGTGTATGGACAAACCTTCAATCTTTTGCTTTGTTGACTAGCAGATTTGATGAATGCTAAAATGTTAGCACAAAATTTACTTTATAATGGAATATAGTAATAGTAAATGAAAAAATAAGATTGCTAGTACCACAATACAGTTCCATATTGAAAAAATTTCAAGGGGAGTGGTAAGGACACTGTGCGGTGATGAAGGAAGCAGAGAAAAATGTAATGATAATTACGAGCCCAAAGAAGGCAAAGATCACCTTCCTAGAGATGTAAATTGAAAGCAAAGATAATAAAAGTACAATAATGACAATCGGCTTGCACAGGCAACAGGACTAATATCAGTTTCAGAATACTTTAGAAAAGATGAAAATGCCTCTTGAGTGTGTTTTTTATTGCAATTATTTTTGCCAGTCCAAGTCTTATCACTAATATTTATCTTTAATAATTGGAAAAGAGGGAACATTTGATATTGTCTGGGAAAAAAATATTATTCAGTGAGGTAGTGAAAGATTATTCTGTAGAGGACTTTGTGTCTTTAACAATGCACATTCTCAACATGCTAAAACTGCAGAGCATTTTCACAAAAGATATCGAGAAGCCTAATAACAGTTTCTTGCAGGCTTAATATGTTTTTGACTTCATTTCTTTCTAGAATAATGATTATGACTGATAATCTTATTAATTTTTTTCAGGGTTAGTTTAACCTTTAGAGACAAATCCAATTATTTGGCAGTTGTATGTTTTCTCACATTTTGGTCATTTTTGCTAGAAATTATTGTTATAGACAGAGAGAGAAATATTTACTATTTTTGGTGGATGTTACTGGCATCATATGTGAGTTTGGAGAAGAGCTGAGAAACCTGGTGCAAAAATTGGAAATAATGATCTGTAAAATATATGCAAGTGCACTCACTTCGGCATTGTCAACCATGGCTAAAAAGGTCATTATTAAGCTGTTCTGTAAATTCTCTCCAGTTTACATATGGGTAACAGAAAATGTAAAATCTGAACATGGATTCCTCATTTAGCTAGCCAGGGTACACCTGACAAGCTGTGCACATGTACTAGCGAGTTTTGTATGTTAAAGTAGCATCTTCTGCTTCAAAACAGCTGATGCATTCTGTCTGGGAAACATGAATCTGGTATGTGGTCTTAGGAGTAAGTTGTTGGAAACCTTTGGAAAAGATTCTAAGGTCAGAATTATTTGGTCTTTTACTTCATACTTCGAAGCTTAGGAAATAGTTTTTGTAAGATATCCCTCCTTGATTTTTTATTTGGGCTTAGGTTAAATCCTCTCCCTGTCTTTCTCTTTCTCTTGCTCTCTCTTGCACTTTCTCACATACACACAAGTCACTAAGTAGGTGATCTTCATTTCAGTAAATAAAATGAACTTAGAAAGCAGAGTAAGAAATAAAGCACCGTCATGACACTGCTAACCATGTCTGTAGTACCAAATAGGTTTTTACTGGCATAAGATTATTCTATATCAACAAAAAAAGGAAACTTGATATTCTTGAGGTAGAAATGGATCTCAAAATTTCTGTGAGTTAGCCTAAATATGAGATAGAAAGATCTATACAACAGTTATGTGAAATGATTCTATTCTCCTTACTTGGCTATAAAACTCCTTTTTTTTTTTTTTTTTTTTTTGGAAAAATACAGTTAAAAAAAATCCTAGGTTAAAACAAGACACAAACAACAGAAATTTCTGTTAAAGGCATCAAGAAATTTTGTTAAGTACAAATAAACTTTTCAGGAAAGCATCTTATCTTTCTGTTTTCAGTTCAAATGAGAATATTGTTGCCTGAGTATTAGACTGGTTATCAATATGCTGCAGACAGACACGTCAAACTCTTCTTAAAAGATGTGGCAGCTTCTAAGAGTACAGTCAGTTACAGCAATGGTTACGCTAACGACAACAAAATGCTCCCAACAGGAAAGGTTCTCAGACCAGATAATTTCCTACATCTCCTTTTAAAAGTGATCCAGCAAACATCTATGACAGCTTTGCTTGGGAAAGGGGAGAGATAAGAACGACCTGCTTAGAGGAGACTGGTGGGAGATTTGTTAATTTGGATTTGAAAG